TCAGGTTGTGCTTTATCCCCTGGACTATCACTTACACTGTGCACATTTCAATATATTATTTGTCAAGTGCTAACCAAAGCTGAATTCCAAGGAATATTCACCTCATTGTTGATATCAAAAACACCCTCTTGGATTTTTTGGTAGATTTCCTTAGCTGTGTTGATGAAAGCCTAAAAGATAAATTGACAGATAACAGTTATACATACCTGTACCACTTTCCTCATTACATTGATCACTGCAACTTAGACAAATTATTTGGTGCAGAGTTTAATTAAGGGTTATAGAACAGTTGTCTCAGTCCAGTTTTCTGAAAACATTTTCCTTATGGATAACAGTGTTGAAACATCAGACTACCAAATGTGCAATCTCCAAGAAATCTATATGTAAAATTTGTTTTAAGACAACTCAATTCAGAACAAAAATCTGGAAAAGGTTATTGCACTACCATTCCCCAATGCAGTGTTGGACACTGCTGTGCAGACACAGACTTATGCCACAAACACTTGTTCACTCAATATTATATGCAGGGGTATTTAAAAGGCAGATTTCATAAACTGCAAAACTTTCCCAACCCTGAGTGAGACCAAAGTTGTAATTGGAAGGATAAAACTCAACATCTTCAATGGCTAGGGGGTTGGGTAAAAAAGGAGGGGAGGGGCGGGGGGCAGCAAAGGTCACTGACGATCACACAAGAAATATTAAGTTTTTCTCGTCAACAGTCTACTGAATTCATCTTGACATAAGTGTAAGAAATGTACACCTTTTCCAAAACCCAGTGACCTTCTACTAATAAACTATATAAATAATCCACAATAACAAGTTGACATGTGACTCTCACTACACATCCTAACACCTGAGTAAGTACATGTCAACATTCTGAGAGCAAGAAAAACAAACACAATCGCAGGATTTGGCTGTCACTTATAACTTATCAGTGATCTCACCTCTTCTACATTTGCTGCAGTCTTTGCAGAGGTCTCCATGAAAATGAGGCCATGCTCCCGAGCAAACGCTTCACCCTGAAGGAAAAGAGATTCAAGATTAAGTTTCCTTTGAAGTTCTTTCTTCTTGCAATCAAAAATTACTTGAAAAGTGTACAAGTAGAAGAAAAAATTATTTGTCAAAACACAGGAAAATATTGAAAATATTTGGATTTAGCAGGGACATTATAATCAGCGATGCACTGCTACTTAGACTACAGTTTTGTTTCAACAGATCATTACAAGCTTAAACTTTTTCAAGTTTACCTCTTCTTTTCTGACATCTCGGCGAGCTTCAAGATCACTGTGGAAGAAAAGATACATTCTAGTGGCTACAACTGATAACAGCAATCTTAAGGAATAATATCTATCCATTAGTCTTTTACACTGTCCACCATATTAACTATTATTTGTCTTAAAATAATAATTATACTTCACCATTTGTTTTATAACATGCAAGATGACAATCACAACCATACCAACCACCAACAAAAGGTCTTGAAGCTAGTTTAGGTGACAGTAATTCACTAAAATAATAGTAATTTATGAAGTAAGTAGTTTAAACCCTAGTGTTAATTAAGTATTTTTCCTAGATTCAGCACTATGTCATTCTAAAGACTTTACCTCTTGTTTCCAATCAACATGATCACCATGTTTGAACTTGAATGTTGCCGAGCATCTTCCAGCCATGTTGTCAGATGATTAAATGTATCCCTCCTGTGGAAACCAAGAGACAAGAACATAGTTTCTTTATACAAACTTAAAATATTTTACAGATTTTTCTTTAATTAACTTGCTTGTCAAAAAGTGAACAAATGGTGAAAACAAAAGCATAAATTCAAGTCACAAACATCCAATGAATGTGTTCCAACTTATTTTTTGGCAACAACAGATACTTATAAAATATTTATATTTCACAGAAAAACATGCTTGAAAATATTTGGATTTAGCAGGAACATTATAATCAGCAATGCATTGCTACTTAGACTACGGTTTTGTTTCAACAGATCATTACAAGCTTGAACATGCTAATACAATGGCTAAAAAATCATTGATGATACATTTTTCAGTAATGAGTCATCAATGTCTTCAACTATAACAGCAGATTATTTTGTGGACTCAATTAAGAAAGTAAATTGTAGGATTGGTAATGACCACATGCTGTTATCTCAATGTTCTCATATTTCCTACGCAAGTTATCTGGCAACATCACTAAAGGTGTACACATGTATTGCATGTGTGGAAAGTGCATTTGCAAAAAAAGAAACAATTTTTTCCTTTCCCAAAAGTACTGCTTCTTAAGTCCCAGTTTGAGTGAGAAGTAGAATTAGATGGAATTTTTTCCACAACTGATGAAAATTCTGGCTTGGAAGGTAACTAACCGTGTGATGTCGTAGACTAACAAAGCCCCTGCTGCTCCCCTATAGTATGAACGTGTGATAGACCTGAAAGATTCTTGACCAGCCTGTGTAAAGAAAACAAATTTTTAATAATAGAATCACATTTAAAAAAAATCATGTAGTCTGTGCTTAGCAAGCACTGGGACTGGCAATTTCAAAAAGATGGGAAAATGCAATGGCAGAAAAAGAAAATAAGAAAAAGCATGATCAGAATTTACAAACAATCTAGTATACATTTATCTTCTGAAAATTAACATTTACAGATTCACCCTTTATATCTGGGGCTTGACACTAATGGTAGCCCACTAGCCACAGACTAGTAGAAATTCAGTTTTGGCTAGTGGTTTTCGATTTCCACTAGCCAGTTTGGCTAGTAAACAAACTGAAATTGTCGTAACATCTAAGATGTAACTAGCCACTTGGCTAGTAAGTTGAAAAGTTAGTGTCGAGCCCTGATATCCACTCAAAATATTTCCCGATTACAATTAAGGACACTACTTCTACATATATATGCATGCACTTGGAAGGACAATGCCAAATTGTTAAATCACCTTCACCTATACATTTCAAAATCACATCAAAGCTGGCCTACAATAACCATGATCAAAAATTTCCTTTCTGGCCCTTTTCCATGATCAGCTATAGTACTTACTGTATTAAGTCCAATTACTCACAATTTTATTCAAGTTCTTACAATGCTAGATGGATCATGATTCAAACTAGATGACATGGGAAAAATGATGCAAAACTGTATAGCTAAATGTATAGTTGTAAACATAAGAACATTTGATTTTTAATTCTAACAATATAAATTCAGATTCAGGAAACATGACATCCACTGCAAACACTTCTAATAAATTTACACTGAAACCCAGATTATTGCCTCTTGATTACAATGACTAAAAACCATTTATGACAAAACAGTTTTATATCTATAATTTGATTTAATTTCTTGCTATTTCCTGACTTTCCTTTTCAACAGTAAAACCACTGAAATATTGAACTTCGAGGAATTATTTCCATTTTGTTGGTGAACTAAAACAATAACTAGTCAAAAACAGCTTTCGTATTTTTTCTAAAAACTACATGGAGTCGGACATTTTCAGAGCCTAAATGACAGGAAGAGCCTAAAAGAAAGATGTCAAAAGATCACTTTCCAAACAAAAAAAATAAATGCGATTGCTCCTGGCCAATTCACGAAAGTTCTTTGCACGTTCTTGAATACGAATTTGTTTGATCATGTGTGGCTTTCAATTCAAACCGAAAATTCCGTAGGGCCATAGCGCAGAAAAACATGGCTTTTATGATTATACAAAGAAAATTCCAAAGAACCTGTTTCATTTTTAATGTACTGATAAGGCCAGGGTTCTTAGAAATTTTCTTTGTGAGTTTACATGCTGTCAAGTACTATAATGGCGAACAGATTCAAATTTAATTTAAACTTACCGTATCCCAAATCTGCAATTTTATTTGTTTGCCATCGATGGTAATCATTCTAGCACCGAATTCAACACCTGACGGAAAAGAGAAATAACAGAATTCAATCATAAGCCGTCAAAAACACGAGAAAAGTAGAGCTTAAAAATAAAAGCTCGTGATCATTGAACTCCGACTGAACGCCGGGTACCGTAGCGCTTGGAAGTAGCGCCATATTTTCAAGGCAAACTTACCTATTGTGAGGTCGTGGACTGGTTGAAAACGTTTGTCCGTAAATTGCAGTAAAAGACATGATTTTCCAACCCCTGAATCACAGAAAATCGACAAAATCAGTCCAACACTATGAACAAATGATTTTGAAAACCACAACATTGGTCAATGGCGTCCATTTTTGATCTTTGAATTGAGCTACGAATATTAGCCCGTATTCTTGCGAAAATCACTGCACAAAGAAGAAAAAAAACATTCCGTCGTGTTTTGCTTACCCGTATCTCCTATAATAATGTACTTAAAAAGATATGCGTACGACATTTTAACGATTGAATCTCGAGTTTTGCTTTCTCTCTTATTCACCGTTTATGATGTCATTCCTTTTTGACTTATTCATAAGAGAAGTCAATACCCATGCGTGTGACGTCACCTGGCATGGCCACGTAGCATCCATCCGTCCAGTCCCTTATTTTCCTTGATCTAATACATCATGACTTGTGATTGGTAACCTTACGAAAATCGAGCCTAAATATTCCTCTGATAGAAATCATCAACCCATAAAGTTCAAGTGGACCCTAAGCTTTGATAATAATATCAAATCAAAGCCAAGATTAACTGTTTATTCAAGTTTTTGCGGCTACTTCCTCCCATGGAGGAATATATTGGATTTTAGACACTTGTGGCCAATTTATGAATTTTAGACACGAGTGGACGATTTTGCATCTTGGACGCCAGTGGCCAATTTTGCATTTTGGGCACTACTGGCCAATTTGGATTTTAGACACTAGTGGCCCATTTTTCATTTTGGAGACTAATGTGTTTTGCTATTTTAGCTACTAGTGGTCGATTTAGGATTTTGGATATCAGTGGCCGATTTGAGATTTTAGCCATAAGTGGCCGTCTTGGGATTTTGGCCCCTAGTGGCCGATTTTTTATTTTGCACATTAGTGGCCAATTTTATATTTTGGACACCAGTGGCCGATTTTTAGTCTCCCTCGCAGCCGATTTTAGTCTCGTCACGCAACGCTCCTCCCCACAAAGGAGGAGCGTTGCGTGACGAGACTGAAAACGGCTGCGAGGGAGACTACCGATTTTAGACTCAAGTTGCCGATTTTGCATTTTGGACACTAGTGGCCGATATTGGACACCAGTGACCGATTTTGCATTCTGGACATTAGTGGGCGATTTTGAGTTTTAATTTAACTGGCCGATTTTTGATTTTGGACACTAGTCACCGATTTTGGACTTAACTCTAGGCTGCTCTCTGTACTATTCCTGGGGTCCTACTTAAGTTGATCATTTCCTCCTTTATCGAGACCTTATTGTCGGTTTCAAGGTGAAGCAGAGTGGTAAAAGAGAAATTGGTCTTTGGGGTGCAAACTCTCACTCTTATGATAACCATACCGAATAGGCTTCTGCGCAACGTTAGGAGTTCACATTTTGGAACGGCGCACGAGAACGGTAGCACTTTATGTTGATGGGTTTCGTACAGTAACCATACCCTTACGAACTATTAAGAATGAAAGAAACCAGTTTAAGTCAGGACTGTTAAGAGACACCAGAGCAGCAGAGATTTATTAAAAATATTTGTAAAAATTTCATTCAAATTAATAAATACAGTCCATTAAATACAGACAAGTTTATATCAAAATTAACTCAGTTCAAGATTCATGTAAAAGCCACTGGAATATTCACACAGACAAAGGCTAGATCAGCTTCCAGCGTGCTGGTCTAAACATCTTGATCAGTCCAAGGTCATTAAGGTCCTGAGGTTGCGACCCTCAAACCCACTCAAAACAAGGTAACATTTACAAGCACGCCCTTTTCACAAAAGGCCGTTACTGCGTTAACGTCCTACAATGACCGTTACATTTAGAAAGAGCTTTTCCTTTCTTCTACCTTACTACGTGAGTAAAGGAAAACATTCTTAAAAACTGGTGCTGGCGCACTTTCAGAACCATGAAAAAAATTACACAAGGAAAAGAAGAAAAAATTACTAAGGCAATAAACTTATTCGAACACACACCAACGAAAAAACAGTATCGACACTGGTTTTGATTTCTACGAAGGCGTTCAGTGCATAGAACAGCGAAGCCAATTCACACCACGTTGATTTCCACACTGAAACGAAAATTGCTCAAACCCAGGTGTATAAAGGATTAACTTTCTTCCCTTAACATTTACATGCCAGGCCTTGGTATATCTAGTGGCGAAAAAGGAGGCCGAAAAAAACACACAAAAACAAAACAAAACAAAAACAACAAATAAAACCACACCAAGCAGTCGGCCGGCAATTTCCGGAGAAAAAGTTATATGAATAATGAATTAACTGCATTTATTAGACAGCTCTAAGGTGAGTCGTGAAAATAAATAAATTCTGTTCTCTAAGGTAGTTTCTTAAATTGAATGTATTCCATTTTACAGATTGTCAGCCACAACAAAGGGAAAGTGGCCATAAAAGGTACAAAAAGTCGCACCGAAGTTGCGCACATATTTCGATCACAAAATAAATACCAGGTCGGCCACACAATATATTAATCTTTCACCAATTGCAGTATCCGAGTGGTTTCCATTAATTTTTTTTTCTTTCACTGTAGATAGGGAGACCAAAAAGCTGATGTCCGGTTTTTTACGAAGAGAGGACTGCTGTTATAAAAATTACCGTCCGATGTTTTGCTTGGGTCAATTCAAATGTACAATATGCCTGAAGGCGTAGCAAGATTGTAGACTATATATTTATATAAATCATGCATATGTATATAAGAATAATTATATGATTAACAAACTCTCTTCCTCGCTTTCCTCTCTCTCTCTCTCTCTCTCTCTCACTAACAATCAAACGAAAAAGAAAAGAAAAGCGAATTACGAATGTATTGAAGGTAACGAACTATTTCAAGGTGTTTTCTTAACAATTAATTCTGCTGTGACGGTCTCCATGCAATAATTGCGAAATTTTTCAGCTAGGGAACAAGCATCAATCAATGGTGGACTTTCCTGTCGATTTGATAGGATTTAGGCCTAATTTTCACACTACAAAGCAAATTCTCGTACAGAATTCGCATGTAAAACGTTCCAAATTACCAGATACCTAGCAATAAAATGTTAAGTCAAGCTGAATCTGCAAATGGAACTTGTTTACGCTCATTAATAGCTACAAACTCTTACGCTACGACAAACGTTACAAACGCATTTCCCTCTTATTATCACAACCATCTAAAGCAATTAAAGAAACACCTGAAGTTACTTTTAAGGTTAGGCTTTCATTCACAGATGTCTAACCGTTGGCTTAGCCTTGCGACATATTAAAAAGGTGCAAAAATCTGCCCAGATAAAATTACGCCCTTAAATCAGGCATGCTCTGGACTGCTTTGCGACGAGATGTCGCTTCCCATGCTGGAGGAGCCGTGGCTTGCATTGTCAGCCAACAAATCTCTCTTTGGCGACAGCGAAGACGCCGCAGGATGATTCCCATTGTTCAAAAGTTGATACGAAAAAGCATTTGACGGGTATCCCTGTGCTCCACTTCCGAGCTGCTGTCCTGCGTAAAGTGACGAGTACGAAGAGTTATTAAAAGAGACATGCGCAGATGAACGGCTTGGACTGACCGGAGACTGTGCGGTCTTCGACACAGCACTGTCGCCACCGAATGCAGTACCTCCCTGAGAATTTGGCCCCATACCCATCCCATAAGGAGCATAGTAAGGCGGCATGTGACCGAATGGGCCAAACGGCATGCTATGCGGAAAGTTTCCAAAGTGCGAAGAGTCATAAGGGAATGCAGCCCGGGCAGGTTCGTTGCGAGTGTCCGACGTAGCTGTTGAGGTCAATGAAGTTGAAGGGGATGAATCAAATTGAGATTTAGACACCGACGCACCGTAGTTCATGTCACTGTACGATCCATGTAAGTGATGTGACGATTGCACGCCAGACGTTTTGGGTGTGGTAGACTTAGACTTCTTATTGGGGGACAATCTGTTCAGCAGAGAAGAAGGTAAAATACCCTGAAATGAACCATAAGCAACACTTGTGAGTTTTTCGCTTTTCAAATATATAAAAAAAGAAATTTGAGGGAGAGATTATCGTCAAAATTTCACAATTGCCCTCGAAGTTTCGCTTCTCGACCAAATATTCATTCCTCGCACAATATCTCAGCTGTAGATATTATCAGCCGGCATACCAGACCAGCCACCCGAAGGGGTTTATTTACTGACCTCGAGCAGTAGAAAATGCCACTGACCAGGTGGCGATTGCCTCTAATGTTGGATCAAATTGTCCAAGAGGATGGCGCGAGTTTCCTGGACCAATTCGACACTACACTAAAAATTTGCTCACTACACTGATTTTCTACGTTTTACGGCAATCATCTCCTTCCCCGAGATTAGCTTACCTTGCTACGCACAAATGCTGCAGACTCTTCAGCAACGTCGTAACTGGTATTCAGCTGTAACCATTCCACAAGGTTCGACAGCATTGGTGCTATATTTCCCACCAACTAAAACGTACAGCAAGCATGAAACAACAACAAAAAACAAGAATATAAAATCGAATCGAAGATTTCTCAGTCACCCAACGAAAAAGCAATGGACTGACCAAACGCACAAACCTTTCTTCCTGTTTCTCTGTCAATAACAGCGATGGTGTCGTTCTGTCCGCTCGTGCCAAGAGAGTCATTTTCTAAACTCGACGAGTTTTTGTACTAAAAATAATAATAATAATAAAAAACTTTTCGGTTTCAAAAGTTCTGCACCCTGGACGAGCCTTATCTCTGATAGACTAAACTTGCTTTTAAATAATCCCGAAAAAGGGCGGAGATCAGTTTTCTGACAATAACGTCACTCAGTTTTCATCACCCAGAGAGGTATCTTCAAAATTTATTCGTTTAAGTTTATGCGAGGAATTATCAGTCAAGAAGCAAGCGTACCTCTTCCGCAAAAGTCGAGAAGGTAGGTTTAGCTCCACTTTCATGAGGTGATTTTGGAAGAGCAGTTCTCCCGTGACCAGTATTAGTTTCCTCTATCACAGACACCTGGTTGATGCCTCCTTCCACTCTACCCGGGAGAGAGAACCCAGTCCACTCGAGGGCAGCGCCTTCAGGTGGTATTGCTACACCACCAGTGTCGGCCAATCTGCCCGCAGATCCGAGCTTATCGGTTTTCGGTTTCCTCCCTCGTTTCTTCCCAGGTGGCTTCTCGGGCTTTTCGCCTTTTTCTTTCTTGGAAGCCCTCTTTTTCCTAGGAGGTTTCGCACCAATGGGTGCGGCATCCCACCTTAAGTCGTGACCTTGGGCCTCCATGTTCATCATGCCTTCGTTCCATTCCCCATCGTGAACTTGAGCGGACATTTTTCTATGACCTAAACATTCCAGACAGAATATAAGAC